CCTGTTGTCCTACTATACCAAATACTAAAACGGAAGTCGTCGACAGCCTTGGCAGCGAGTGGATAATGCCAGTAGCTGATTGAAGCGAGAACATATTCTGGCTTCTTACCCTTTGATATCAGATCCTGTCAGCTGCATAACAGCCACGCATTCTAGTCTGTGTAACAGCTTACCGAATATTAAGAAAATGACTGATAATTAACCTTAAATTCGGGCAGTTTCACGAGATTGAATGCTTTGGTCCTGATCACAAGCCTGGCCAAAGCAGCGTCTCTTTTGAATTTCAGTTCTGCTGCAGCTCGCTCATCGCTGATATCTGGAGTCGCCGTCAGATCACGAAAGGATACAATTGCTCTTGTGTCACTTATGGTAGCAGTAGCGCTAGCAACAGTGACCGGAGCGCTTACAGAGCTCGGCAATGACGTCGTAGGAAGCATGTGGGGAGCGACGGGGGTATCCACGCATTTTCGAGTTGTTCGCACTTTCACCACTTCACCTGTTGGCAAACGTTTGCTCACCGTCCTGTAACTAATAAATATCGCCTACTCATAGTTTTTTTTTTTAAAAAATTTTATAAAAAGTAAAAAAATACCACAGAAATAAAGATCCTTTGCCAATTATAATGAAGACAAAGCATCTGCTTGCAGCACAGGAAACAATAATTTACTCTATTTATTAGGACCATTTCTGAACCTCAAACCAGTCGGAACTCAGAAATTCTGGTTGTCACTTCGTATAAGATAAAATTCACAAGAAGGGATAAGGGTGGGCTAAAGATGATGTTACGGTTATGGTCTAATCACATATAAGTAAATGCAGATACCTCCCGTATTTAAAAATCTGTAAAAAAAACTGAAATTCTCATAGCGATTTTTTTGAGTTTGCTCGTGTTAGAAGCAAAGATTAGTCCTGTTTCGGATTTTACTCATTTTGCATCTCAGTCCTAGAACGCAGGTAGTACTAACCTCACTGATTTCGTGGTGTCGAGGGCAATCGGAATTGGTGCATTCGTCATCAGATGACTTCTGATGGCACCACCACCTGAAAACTGCTGTAGTTGTTGTTGCTGCTGCTGTTGTTGTTGGCCTAAGAATTTGTGCTTCTGATGCAAGGGACTGGAAGGAA